GTTCCCGGTGCTGGTTCTCTAAAGCTCACACCAAAAGGTGTCATTTGACAATACCTAAAGGTATGGATCCCAATATATTCGCGAATAGTGAATAACTCACTTTTGTTGTGGGATGCAAGTCACACAAGTGTTGTAACGGGGTTACATGTACCCTGGTACGAAAGGTTGGGTCACCCAAGATGGTGTTACCGTTCAAAGCTGTCGATTACACAAGACGGTGCAATCACACAATGGTGTGGCTACACCGTAACGGGAAGCCACTATATAGCGGGACTGCCAGTATTTATGAGGTTTTACTGTTCAATTAGGAAAAAAAAATATGGTTCTAGATATAGGTGGCTCTGCCGCATATAACACAAATAAATACCGTTTCGATTTTTAACAGAAGAGCTCATTTGACTTGGGTTAAGGTTTGGGTAAGCGGATTGCAATCCGCTACACTCGTACTGGTTCTAGTATAGAACGAAGGTCGGTGACCTTAAGTAAGCTTCCTCTAACAAAAGAGTTACGGCAGCTCCGCTGCACATAAGGCACCACTCAACCGCGAAAATATGAAATACGGAATTTTGGAGATCGACTATATTGGCATGAAGCGTCACCTTACCGACAAAGAAACTCGAAACGAAGACGTTTACATTTGTACGTGATGCCACAAAGGAATCAAACAAAGGAGCTCGAAACGAAGATGTTTACATTTGTACGTGATGTAGCAAATTTCAAGACCAAGGGAATGCAAAGGATCAACAAGCATTTCCGGCAGGTGGGGTTGTTGAGATGACGGCGCTCAATACTGTTGAAGAATGATATTCTGGTACAGGCATGAGTATTTCGTTTTGCTCGCCCAGAAAACAAGCTCAATTTGCCGAGTGATTACCGGTGCGTCAGCTCCACTTACATGTTTGAGGGTCTTATGAACGAACAACTTACCCGATTATGGAAACATAAAACAAGAAAAAACATGAGTATTTAAAAATGTCGTCTGTAAAATGAATTAATTCAAAAAAAAATTATTGGCCACCAGAGAATCCCAAAACACTCAACAGATAGTCGATGGGTTCAAGTTGCGTTACAACGACATAACATAATAAGGGATGCTGTCACATCACTATGATAGAATTCAAAGTCTGTGTATCAGCCTTGAACTTTTGTTATAGAAGTAAAACTGTGCTGTGAGCTATAAATCAAACAAAATGCAACAACGAAAAATGTAAAGATCCAGTGCACTTAGACATTTTTCTTGCGAACAGAAATGAAAATATATATTCTCCAACAAGT